CTAAGGATCTACATATTTTTACAGCGAGCTAAGGATCTACATATATATACAGCGAGCTAAGGATCTGCAAGGATCTACGTATATATACAGCGAGCTAAGGATCTACATATAAATACAGCGAGCTAAGGATCTACATATATATACAGCGAGCTAAGAATCTGCATGTATATACAGCGAGCTAAGGATCTACGTATATATACAGCGAGCTAAGGATCTACATATAAATACAGCGAGCTAAGGATCTACATATATATACAGCGAGCTAAGGATCTACATATATATACAGCGAGCTAAGGATCTGCATATATATACAGCGAGCTAAGTATCTACATATATATACAGCGAGCTAAGGATCTACATATATATACAGCGAACTTCAGTCGCGCAGATTCGGAAGCAGTAGGCGAAGAACAAAATACAGGCAGGGACACAGACAATTACATTCATCAGCTTTCTACCAGACGACTCAAAAATATATATATGAATACACAGACCCTGGCGTCCTTGTTTCAACTTTTAAGCCTTCTGAATCATATTTCTGTGCAATGCTTGCGTTACGAGAACTTACTCAAAACAAACCATAATGATATACACATATCCCCCCAGCACAACAGGCGATTTACACTCCGAGACCTTTTGTGTATTGAACTCGCAATACGACAATATATATATATCGACAAACGAAATCTGCAAAATATATTTTGCAATATAATTCATAGATTTTCCACACATTTGAAGTTAGCCTTACAATATAGTATCCCTTTGGTATGCCAGCCCTATCCGCCAACCCCCCGGATACTAAGTGCGTTATTTGACACTTGTTTATCGTCAAACCCATCTGTAGTAGAAAAATAGAAACACCACTGAGTATCATACCATCTGCTATGTACAGGCCAAAATGTGTAGAGCATACCAACGTTGGAGTGTCTGGAACAAAACATGTGCTATTGTAGCAGGCCTTATAACCCACCAGATGATCCGCATGAGAGTTTAGCCTATGTAGCATGGTAGTGGATTGTAAGGCGCGAAAACAATCGCATCTACAGTGTATGCCACGAACTATGAATCGAAACTCCCGTCAAATACAGTGTACGGGTGCTTATTAGTGTGTGATTGCATATATATGCTATTTGCCCCTGGTAAATGTGTGTATGGCGCTAACAAAAAAAAAATGCATTCCCAGCGATGAATGCTGCACTGCGGCTGATGTGATGATAGGCTTTGGGCAACACACCATTGATAAGAAATCAAAATACAAGACCCATTTCACTTCACGAATCCAGTCTTATGTCCGTGGCTTATGATGGGTCGTATTCGACATCGGATGTGGGGGCTGGCATCAATTAATTGCCCACAAAGTAGATGATTCATACGTTCACAGACGTTTGGCACATATATCGCTTGCCCGGATGAGGCTTACTTAAGCACGCACGATAATAGCCGTACATGTGGACAAGCATAAGTACATGGGCGTATATACATTTTACACAAGATCCACGCACATATATATGTTCAAATGCACACACACACACTCACACACACACACACACACATATATATATATATATTCGTAACCACTCACCGAATGTCCCTTCCTATCGAGTTTAAAGAATCTAACTATCGGTTGGTTGGCAAGGGTCAGTGTACACGCATAGTCTTTTCGTACCATGCCCATCACCTGCATGATATTAGAATGGGGCTAAAATTAAAACACTTGCGCTTGTTCGCTGCACGCTGAATGAGGAATAAAAGAACTGAGAGTATTCTGTACGAATAGATAAATGTGCAGGTGAATGGTAGATACAATAATGTGCAGGTGAATGGTAGATACAATAAATGTAACAGAGACATATAGTACTCACACCCTCCTCCCTCACAAACCAGAGAAAAAAATTACCAGGTACAACATCACAGATGAACGAGGGATAAACACATTTAAAAAAAACTTACAACGCAAAAAATCCCAATAAGAATGAGCGATAAACAGTACCAGACAGCCATCCATCCATGGAGAAGGACAAGTGTGTGCAGAGGATTGTATGCGACAGCGCGGTTTGAATCTGATACATACGATGCCATACAAACAACAAAACGTGCACACATGCACACGTGCGCGCGTACCTGTCCAATAGTGAACTGTGAGATGTCCCTTTTATTCACCGCTATCAGCTCGTCTCCGACCCTGAGTTTAGCCTACGCAGCAAGCATGGATGCAACAAGCATGGATGCAATAAGCATGGATGCAACAAGCATGGATGCAATAAGCATGGATGCAATAAGCATGGATGCAACAAGTACGGATGCAATTTGCGACAGAGATACAGTGCGCAGGGTTGAGAAATAATGTTCTAGTGAATAAAAATCAAACCAAGAGATTAAGCAAATGACTGGGAAGGGAAGTACATTGGCGGTATTTTATAAGACGTTCCACTAGATAACACCGCTATCAACTCGTCGTCGACCCTAAGTTTAGCCAAATTAGGGAATATATATATATGTATGAATGCGTTATGTGTAGGGAACACAGCAGAGTACGGAGATGACAAACGAAGTAATGGTTCATCATGCTGAGGAAATTTATATATTTATACACACACACACATATATATATATACATATACACACACACACACACACACATACATATATTTATAATATATATATTTATATATATATATACAAAAAATAAATATATGTAAATAAATAAATTTCATACTCCAGAGACACGGAGTGTGAAATAAAAACGCACACACTTCTCAAAGCGGGAATACTCTTTATGTGAACAAATGATACATGCAAGCCGTACGTGCCGTAGTGATAAGAGGACATGAGAGAGCATCAAGCACAGACACACACCTCAGCATACAAACNCCAAAATGGACAAACACACACACACACACACACACACACGCACAATATATATATATATACAGACATACATTATACAT